GGCACGACTTCCCTTGGTGAATCCATGCTGATTGTTCCTGATCACTTTCCTCTCCTTTAAGTGTTTCATAATTGATTACTTGATGACCTGTTCCATGATTTTTCCAGGGACTGAGGTGAGGCTGACTGGCCTGTAGTTCCCCGGATCCTCCTCCTTCCCTTTCTTAAAGGTCATCTAGTCCAACCCCCTGCTCAAAGCACGGCCAAATCCCAACTTTTTTTTGTTTGTTCTTTCAGCCAGTTTCAGCCTTCAAACTTCTTACCTCACTTTTAAGACCCTGCACAGCTCCCCTCATCTTTGCTTTTATTTCCTTGTCCTCTTCTTCATTTTGTGTGTGCTCCTCCCAAACTTCATCTAAGTGTCTCACTTGTATCTTCTCCCACACTTTTCTTCCACACTTCCCCTTACACTCTGAACTTCCTCCCTCTCCTTATAGACTGGATGATCTCTGCCTCTTTTGCAAAAAGAACAGGAGAACTTGTGGTACCTTAGAGACTAACAAATTTATTTGAGCATAAGCTTTCGTGGGCTACAGCCTACTTCATCAGATGCATAGAATGGAACGTATAGTAAGAAGATATATATACATACAGAGAACATGAAAAGGTGGAAGTTGCCCAACCAACTCTAAGAGGCAAATTAATTAAGATGAGCTATTATCAGCAGGAGAAAAAAAACTTTTGTAGTGATAATCAAGATGGCCCATTCCAGACAGTTGACAAGAATGTGTGAGGATACGTAACATGGGGAAATAGATTCAATTTGTGTAATGACCCAGCCACTCCCAGTCTCTATTAGTTAATGGTATCTAGTTTGCAAATTAATTCTAGTTCATCAGTTTCTCATTGGAGTCTGTTTTTGAAGCTTTTCTGTTGCAAAATTGCCACCTTTAAGTCTGTTACTGAGTGACCAGAGAGGTTAAAGTGTTCTCCTACTGGTTTTTGAATGTTATGATTCCTCATGTCAGATTTGTGTCCATTTATTCTTTTGCATAGAGACTGTCCAGTTTGGCCGATGTACATGGCAGAGGGGCATTGCTGGCACATGATGGCATATATCACATTGGTAGATGTGCAGGTGAACAAGCCCCTAATGGTGTGGCTGATATGATTAGGTCCTATGATGGTGTCACTTGAATAGATATGTGGACAGAGTTGGCATTGGGCTTTGTTGCAAGGATAGGTTCCTGGGTCAGTGTTTTTGTTATGTAGTGTGTGGTTGCTGGTGAGTATTTGCTTCAGGTTGGGGGGCTGTCTGTAAGCGAGGACTGGTCTGTCTCCTCACTCTCACAGATCTTGGGAGACAGACCAGACCACACATATAGTTAATGTCTACACAGAAAAGACAGGAATTTGTTTTTTAAGACCTCATCATGATACGCAGTTAATCTTCCTAAGAAGAATGAAGAGCTGAGTTTATCCTGCTAAGATTTAAACCTATGGTTCCAGCAAGTATAATTATTCCAAATCTGATGCTGTGATCACTAACCCTTCCCTGGCACGTAGTATTTACATTTTATAAGTTGTCAGTATATCTTGTATGCACGTACAACCCATTTGATCAAGCACAAGAAATTCATGGAAATTGCAGAGTTTCTCCCTCTTGCATGGCATTGATTCAGGTTTTTGAGCAGTCACTTAACCTATGCTCCAAAATCCATTCTAGCTGGTGGTTGTGTTAATGTTACACAGAGCATTTCTCCACTTGCTGCTCAAGTTCATCTAGAGAAGGGAAGTTGGTGAAAAGTCAGGCAGACAATGAATAACTGGGATCAGGTGAGTCACATTGCATGCTGTAGGGAGACACATACGAGGATCTTACTCTGTGTAAAGCGGCTGTGTCATTCCAGGAAATGCAATGCAGACCGAAGAAGACTTTTCAGACAGATGAGTTCACTGCATTCTAGGAGCCCTAACCTAAGAAATGTTGAGTGTCCTCAATCCCCATTGAAGTCAAAGGGCGATGAGGATGTTTAGCACTTCACAGGAGTGGGTCCAAAACGCATAGACTTGGGGACAGATTTACAAAGGCATTTAGGTGTCTAAAGATGGAGGTAGGCTCCTGGAGCCAGATTTTTAAAGGATTAGGCACATAGATGCTTTTGAAAATTCCACTAGGCAAATAACTGCATCTTCAGGTGCCTGAATATCTTTGAAAATCTACCACGTTTGCAGCCTTGAGTGCTGGCAAGATCTCCACGCTGATCAAACAGGAAATGAAAATTCAAAAGTTCCTGGGGCTTTAACAGGGGAGTAGCTGTTTCCTGTGTACCTGGCTGACATGCAGTGGAGTTGAAAGCGCTCTCCAGAGCGGTCACAGCGGAGCACTGTGGGACACCTCCTGGAGGCCAATTCATTTTTAATTACACAACACAGTGTCTACACTATCCCATCGACCTGTGGATGTCGAATCAAGCACTACGCCTCTTGCAGAGGTGGAGTACAGACCACTTAGGTCTGCGGAAGGGACTCAGAAGTGCAGACACATACATTATTTGATTGACTTAATGCGGATTATGTCGACGTAAGTTTGTAGTGTAGACCAGGCCTATGTCTGTGATGATTCATGTTTACTCAGAGTGTGGAAACCTCTCTGGACCTGGGAGCCGGAATGTCTCAGTGTCTTTTCATTAACTTTAATGGGCCATCCTTGTCTTTTCCTGGGCTGGACAATGGGACATTACCTGGAGCCAGTTACATGTAAACACCGGGCTTGGGAAGTACCCTTCCCTGCTATGAGTTATAGTTGACATTATGAGCAAAGTTTCCTAAATACACAAATGATAGATTCATAACCATAGTCTGTATACGTCTCATAATGACTATGATGATCAGAACATTACAAGCTTCCATTAAAGACCTTACTTGATACACTTTTATAGTACTGTAGTACAGTATGCAATAGGCTGCTTTAACTGCTCATTTTTGGAGTTTAAACATTCTGTTCGTCCCCTGCTTATTGTATTTCAATGAAAAACAAACCTGAGGCTGTGTATTCTCAGCAAATCTGTTCTGTGTCCTCTTCTGTTAAAGAGGAATCAGACATCTTACACCCGCTTCCCTGACTCTGCCCTGCATAGACCCCAAAACACAGAACTCCAGGGAAAAACTACTCTTACATTCAAATTGTCTGCCTGAAAAGAGTTCCATCTTTCAATACTTGAAAAGTGATAATAGCACAAAGGCTGCAGAATAACAGTTTTTAAAAAATATATGAATTAATACTGGCATTTAAAGCGTTAGTGAAGAGGCAGAATACTCATCATGAGTAACTTGATAGGGCATGAGAGGAAGTGGTAAGAACTAAACAGCAGCAACTCCCTGTCCCTGGCTGCTAGGAGGAGCAGTATACATCAAGGGCATGGACTAGCAAGACGGTCCTGCTGTACTCTGCGTATATGCGTAATCTCATGTTACTCTCTCGTGGCTGGCAGAGGAGAAGGGAAACACTAATATCACTGTTGAAGAGATCTTCTTTATCTCAAGCGGTAAAGGCCCATGTCTGTGGAGCTGGAGTTTCTGTACGTGTTTGTGTGAGTTTTCTGGTAATTGTACCTGTTGTCTGCAGCACATGGATTTCTTACAGTACTTCTAGTTCTGCAAAAGATACGTGTCTTAAGGGCATATTTTCTTACCTTTGATGCAGCCCTCATTGTCCTTTCTGTCTACAAGGAGGTGGCGTGGAGAATCAGGGGGAAATGGCAACATGACCAGCTGGATTAGTGCTGGATTGCACTGACAGCCATGAGAATGGGCCAGAGGGCTTCTACTACTTATATCCCAGTAAGGATTTTGATTTTCTTTATTGAACTGCCCATTGCACATTCTTCATTGCAAAACTCCTTTGCTAGAAAGCTTGTGGTTATTGATACAAACTCCTTGAGGAATTTAAAGTATCACATTTCTGTTTCCATGTCAGTTGAGGCTGAGGAATTTGGGCTAAGCTGATTCAGCCTGCCACAGTCTAGCTGCCTGGGATACTAAAAGCAGTTGCTAAATTGCCTTTTACAAGCGGCTTGTGTTAACCTGTTCCTATATTTTAGTAGGAGAAAAAAATGAAATAAGCCTCATGTCTCATGATCTGAGTCCAATGCTGAATATCCTACAAACTTTCCGATAGCTGTGGCAGTGGATGCTGTTATGGCAATCACCCCAGGCAGCTTCTGGGGAGCACATTCTCCAGCATACAGTGATCCTTGTGATTTGTTGGTACATTTTCCATTTGAAATAGATGGATCTGGCTATGGTGTGTTTGTTTTGTAGTAGGGTAATGTAGGGGGTAGTGATGGGAAGAGATACGAGGTTTATGCTATAAGATATTTAGGAGCAATGCTGAGCCTCGGTTTGTAGATGTCTGACAATAGCTCCAGGTTTGGGTAAATATTTTAGTAAGTATGTTCCTTTGTTTATTTATTTCTCACCCAGATGGCCTTTCCATGTCATATTTCCTACAGCGGACTGCTAATGCTTCACTCCATTTTAAATCACAGATTTCAACAGATACCCAGAATGCAACGGGCTTTGTATCTTGCTCAGACCTGACCACAAAGTCTTTTATCCAATTATATTTGTATTCCGTTGATTTGGTAATGTAGTTATTTTTCATCTTCAGTAACACTTTTTAAAGAACCTGTAATACAGAAAGCAGTGCCTGTCACAGGCAGCAGCAACAGGAACATTGGGGTTAGTTTTCTGTTCAGTCAGCATGTTCCTAAATACACTGTGCATGTTTTGACATTTTCACTGCTTTGCTGCACTCCGGTGTAAAGAGAAGAGTGTACAGAGAAGGGAAAGGAAAGGTGGCACATTATGAACTTTAATTATTATTGCTACTATTTATTGAATTAAAAATGTATGTGACAACATAACTCTGTGTGATACTTTACAGAGATCTTTAAAAAGTTGCAGGCACAGATTCTCAGCCATGGTAGGACCACTTTGCTGCTGCATGGAGGAATCCTTCAGTGGTGTCAAGTGGCTCTACTGGCTCCCAAGCCTCCCCTCCCCACCCAATATTATTTATATAGTCCAATAGGTATGCAAATTTACCTGCACTGACTCCATAGAAGAATCTTCCAAGAAGGATCATCTCACGTGATCCAAACATCTTGCTGAATCCCATCAGAGGTGCACCACTGAGAGCAGGGATATTGTTAAATAGCATAACTTTCTTCCTGAAATGCATAGCAAACAGATCTAAATACTGTGTGTGTCATTCACTGGTCAATAATAATCGCATAACATGTAAAATGGCTAAAGATTCTGAGCTGTATTTCACTGTAATGACACCATAGCCAGGTGCTCCTTGAGGCAAGGAGGGATGGGAAAGAGACAACTGTCTTTTACAGAGTGAAAAGCTATCTGGAGTTTTTGGTGGCTATAGCACTGCATGTGTGTGCTCCTGTTGAAACAAGACTCTATGTTCAGATTGGAGGATGAGCTTCTGTAAATTATAGTTGAAGGTGACACTTTCCCCAAGTGGTTTTCCTTGAAGTATTGGCTCAACTCAGGTAATTCCCTTAAAATCCCTAAGGGATGGGGGTATTTTTTTTAACTTATTGGCATTCTGTCACAGTCTGTTTCTTCACTACTATTGGCCTTTCCTCTGAAGAAGCTCATAGTAGTGAATCCCCATACAGGACAAAGAGGTCTGCAGTCGATCTGTTTTCTTTAAGACATGAGTCACTTGATTTAGTGGGCATTGGAGTAAACAGAAGTAGACTAGTGCAAAGGTGCTTCCTGACTTCCAAATCTAGCAGACAATTATCCAGAACACATGGCTCACAGCAGCCCCCCCACCCATGCTGTAAATGGACATGATGAAGGACCACAGCAATGCGATGGCCTCCTAATTGAGGGAGGAGCCATATCTCTTCACCAAATCTCACTAATGAAGCTTTTAATATGCTTGGAAAGAAAAACAAAAACAGGTGAACTTGGTCAACATTTCCTGGCCTGAAGCCAATGGCAAAACTCTCATTGACGTCAATGGGGCCAGGATTTCACCCTGTGGATTCTATGCTCCGTGGGGCAAGGATGGACCTCATTGTTACTTAGCTATACAGTAAATAGAATAATCGGATCCTGATTCTTGATTGTGGCCCATAGATGCTACTGAAATAAAAGTAATAAATAATATCACTAATGTCATCAGCTGCAGGACCATGTGAATTCAAATGTTGCCAACGTAATAAATTTTCACCTCCTCAGTCCGAGTCTCAGCCTCAAGTTTTTCCTTTTCCAACTGTCAATTCCTGCTGCAGACCTTGATTCCAATACCACAGCCCAGACTTGACCTTTTTGGACCTATGGACAGCTGCTCAAATTTTGAATGTGAAGCCAAGGAATTGGGTTCAAGGGACTTCACAGAGCAAGCAAATTGTTCCAGGGCTGAATAATAGCAAAGCATCGAGTGCTATAAATTTTCCATAACCCTTCTCCATTTCCCAGCTCTGTGATATCACAATGGTACTAAACTCTGATGGTTACCATCAAAAGCGGGAGCGTGAAGTGACAAATATTGGAAACAGAAGCTAAATGCTTTCTGAGGGAGGCCAGGAGAAAGGAATGAATGTGGGGAAATAATTTGAAGTAAAAATTGGAGCTTGTTGTTGCATATCTGATTTTTCTCAGTAATTATGTCTATGTTTTCCTGATAGCCTTCACTTACCTCAGCAGGAGAGTTGATGATAGCCCCACCGATGCCCTGGTCAAGAGCCGGGGTAAAACCTTCCAGCTGTTCAGCTGTCAGAAAGAAGCAAAAAATAGGGTAGGTGGAACTGCTGAATCACGTTCAAAATAGTTATTCTATTTCTATAGTGGTAACCTCTGCACACAGAACATCAGCAGGAGAAAATCCACAGGAAGCCAACTGCTTCTGCTTGAGATGTGGGAGTAAGGATACAGTACAGGGCAAGGGACCCTAAGTGCTAAAGGCAGGGCAGAAAGGAAAAAATGGGTGAATTTCTGTGAAAACAAGAGACAAGTCTGCCCTTGTCTTTCACTGCCCAGTGTCATGTTTTAATGCTTTAGTCCTTGGCTTCAGAGACTCTTAACCTGTGTTATCAAGAGGTCACTAGAGATGTTAGTGTTGCAGTACCCGAGCTGCTGGGTACCATATGTATGCCTAAGGCATGGCTTCTCCCTTCTCCTCCAGTTATCCCACCCACTTATTGTTGTCTTATATAACTGAATATTACACTCAGCAACCTGAATGAGTGGGAAAATGTCAGCGAGAGGTAGCGAGATTCCCAGGTTTTGAAGGGCATTCCTGATTTTGATGGGTTACTTCCATGTCCTAGAATTCTATCATGCAGGATGTCTAAAAATATCCCAGATATACTTTTGTAAGGGAAACATCACCACCTTCCACCTGTGTTGATTACTGTATATCTTTATGATGCTGTGTCATGACGTGATGCAACATTTTTATCCCACAGGACAAATGTTTGCCGATGGCAATGTTGAGCCAGGACTGTAAAACCTTTATAAACGGGTTTATAATCAGAGGAATATTGCTGCTTGAAGACATGGTGGGCCAAATTCCCCCTTGGTGTAACAACACTGACTTCAGAGTTGTCACAACAGCAATAAAGTTCACACTTTGTTCATATCTTAAACCATGACACACTCCTGGTTGTTGCAGCAGCAGGATGGAATTTGGCTTACCGTCTCTGACATGAGGCTTCTCCTCATACGACTGGTGTTACAAACAATGTAACTCCTCAGCAAGAGACCCACTATCAGCAGGAAACTCAGAAAGGCCTATTTTAATTATATTTGTATTAATATCCTGCCTATAGCATCATTTCTAGTACTTTGCCAGTCTGTTTTAAAACGCCTGCAGGAGGAGGGGCTTCCACCACCTTTCTTGGGTGACTGTTCCAGTCTTACAGATCTCACTTTCAGGAAGATTTTTCTTGATATTTATCATAAATATCTTTTTTCTATTTTTATGCTGTTATTTCTAGTTTTACCCTCTTATACTGCTCTAAACAAAAACAATTCCTTTCTGTCTTTTCATGTTTACCTCTTTCAGGTAATTACAAATAATTGTCATGTGCCTCCACCCATGCCATCACTCATCCAAACTCTCTTAGCTCTTTTAATCTAAGTCAATCCCTCTGGCTCCTTAGTCATTTTGTTGCCCTTCTCTGAACTCCTCCGGTTTGTGTTCATCTGCCACATCTCATTGCTTTAAATAAAAGAGGTCTCAAATCCATTTTTCACTATTTCTTTTTTTAAATTATCTGCTAAACCAAACATTGAGATATTTGATCTCTCGGATATGACCTCCTATACTACTATTTTAAACCATATTTGATTTCAGATAAGAACTGGGTTGATTTACTGAGTTTATGCAACAAGGCTTTAGAACAGCAAAAGGAAGGAAGAAAGTAGTGCATAAATACTGTTTGGAGAAAAAAGAGAAATGTATACCAGCTTGGTTGCCACTTCAGCTTGCAGATCAGGTCTCTCTTGATGGTTCCTTTAGGTTCTGAGGGAACAATCACACTTTATATAGAGAGGGGTTTTAGATAATTTTTCAATGTGTGAGTGCCTTCCCTCTCTCTCACTGTCTTGTTCACACCCTTTTTGCCTTTTCATGGAGTTCTTGTTATGCAGTTTGTCATTATCATGGTGGTTACTGATGAAACTGCCCATAATTTTGATGGGTCATGATCTGTCTGCGTTCATTCCAGGTTGTTTGGGAAGAAGATATATAAAGAAAGCTGACAAATGATATGCAGCTGGAGGAGCTGGGTAAAGGGCAATAAAAGGGCACTGATGAAAGCCAATATCCAGGGACTGGTATAAACTAGAATGGACTGGCCGAGAGTCTGATAGCTAATTTCACAAGACTTTTGTTCTGGCTGAGATTTTATTGCCTTGAGTAATCAATCAACACCTTCTAAATAAATAACATTTGACCATTCCCTCC